CCTAACTGTTTGCCCAGGATGACTATTTCCCTTCTTCCCAACTCGATTCTTTCTTTTTGTTGAAATCTGTGAAATATGTTTACTTGCACGTCTTAGTGGGATCATATGTAATGCATTCAGAATAAATAATTCCTCCTTTAATTATTTTCCACCTTATGCTTATGATACTTGAATCCCTTACACAAAATCAATAATATAATATATCATTGCTTAGCTTATAATTTTGTTGCTCCTTTGCTGCAAATGCAGCTGTTTTTCCAAGAATTAATGTGGGGGACCCATATAAACGACTTGGAATAAGCAGGGAAGCTTCTGAAGATGAAATTCAAGCTGCAAGGAACTTCCTGATTCAAAAACATGCAGGGCACAAGCCAAGTGTAGATGCAATTGAGTCAGCGCATGACAAAATAATAATGCAGAAGTTCTATGAGAGGAGAAACCCAAAAATAGACATTAAGAAAAAAATGAAGGAAGTCAATCAATCACGATTTGTTCAGGCTGTCAGAGGCAGATTTCATACTCCATCCACAAAATTCATTATAAAAACATCATTAGCATTCTTGTTACTTGGAGTTCTGACTGTTCTCTTTCCAACTGAGGAAGGGCCAACACTTCAGGTAGCAATATCTCTGATGGCTACGATGTATTTTGTATATGATCGGTTGAAAAGCAAGATACGAGCTTTGCTTTATGGGTATGTAAACAGTTAACAATATTCTGTTAGACCATGATTTAGTATTTTTCGTTTAGAAAGCATCACTTATTCCCATGGTATTACATTTGCCATTCTCCCTTTAAAATTTGATGCATTTGTGGTTAATCTCTCAGCTCTTTAGGTTCTCTTTTAATTGGTGCTTTGGTGCAGGGCTGGCGCATTTATTATTTCATGGCTATTGGGAACCTTCTTGATGGTGTCAGTAATTCCTCCTATTACTATACTCAAGGGACCAAGGGCATTTGAAGTGATCACATCATTGATAACATATGTTTTCTTATGGGTTTCATCGACCTATCTTAGGTGAAGGCTAAAGCTATGTATCTCAATGTGACTGGGTTTTTGAGCAGAGGACCAGTTTTTTGCAGGGGAGGTTCACAATATGGCTTACCTTATTTATATGTCAAATTATATCCTTTTTTTTAAGAAAAAACATTTGATATGCCTAATTTTGGTGAATGAACTGTTGTTTTCTTTCGCGGTTAAATATTTGAATGAGCAAACATACTGGCATTATAGAGATGTGGAAATGAATGTGTTTTGTTTCATATGGATGTAAAATGTTTAACTTTCAAATTTACCTACGTCGGGTATAGATCTTCAATGTTTTTTTTTTTTATACAAATTAAAACACAGACTTTCTTTCAAACACAACTATATCCTGCCAGCTAGTTTCTTTTCGAAAGCACTACTAATATTTTTTTGGTATTAACATTGAAAATAAAAAAAATTATCTAAAATATTTATTATGTTTGTTTAATACGTTTGCAAAGGTAATGCTTATCTTATGTTCACTTATAACATCTCAAGCGTGACTGTGAAAAATTTATTATTGGCGTGGGGTGGATAAGAAGCAGCAGAAGCCACCAAGAACTTAGTTGCAACTTGCAACCTGACCCATTTTCTATGGGTTGAAATTTTTTAAACTCAATCTAAACAGAATTGAGTTTGGTCAAAATTTGTCGGTTTGTTGAGATTGACCCAACCTATAGAGACCTTAGTTGCGATGAAACAATAGGAGGGCAAAGGTTTAGATTAAATAAGTCAATCATGTTAGCTAAAGTTTATCAATCAAGGTAACCAAAGTTTAAGTTGAAACTGGTCTTCTCACTCTTGTTGTTTTTATGGCTCATTCTTGTTTTTCTTTTCTTTCTTTCTTTTTAAATAAAGAGCTTGAGCACATAAGCCATCGAGACATCTCTGTAATTCATTGTTAAGAAAAAAATGTTACTCTAACACACATAAGCACATAAACTTTAATATCCGCTATTTTTTGTTAAGAAAAAAATTGACTGTAATTCATTGCACACATCTCTGAAAAATTTCATCTAATGGGTTTCGCTTATCAGAATCACCCTTCTCTCTTATTTTTTTCCTTTTTTTCCCTATACAATTATTTACGCATCCAAATGATAGATTTTCAAGCCAGTTCATGTGATGAACAGAATTTTTTCATAGCATGTTCAACTTGCTATTTTCTATGCCAATGAGTTCCTGGAATGTTTGTTAAGGGATACATTTACTAAGATTGGTCAGAATCTTTTATTTTTTATTTTTTATTGGGCAATGAAAGAAGTAAGAGTGCTGCCTTTCGCTCCAATTATAATTTGTGTTCTGGAATCTCTGATTTATATAGTGAATGATTAAGTTATACATAAATAACTTATACCTCAATCAGCTCAGAGTACACAATTTGTTATGTAGAAAGGCTTTTTAGAATCAATAGAATTATTCTGCAAACTAGTTCTCAATTATCAAAACACATACAGCGAAACTTGATATGAGAGAATGATATCCATGGCGTGAGAATGCACCATAGGCAACCGACAGCCAAGAGTTAGTAAACAATAAACGGTAGGAGTAGCACTACTATCTGGCCTGCTATAACTCAATAAAAGAAAGTCTTAAGGAAAGACATTTTATTTTATGTACAGTAATGTTCTGCCTTATATTTGGTCAGTTTATACCAAAAACTGATTAACAACAGTAACAAATTTCGTGGAATGATGACAACCATATCTCTTGAAGGAAGAAAAAACAGAAATCAGGCTAAATTATGGTACATCATGCACTTCGTATGCAAATAATCATATAAAACTCCTGCCTGTGTCGAGGCACTCAGATAGCCACAAGTCCATGTGTTCTACAATCTTTAGCCTTACTTTGTGAACTGCATCTGGAGAGGTACAGTTCTTCTCATCACCTGATAAGAAATTCACAATCAGAATATTGGTTGATATAGCACCATCGCATATTCGGGTAACAAGCAACTAGCACAGTTGTGAGTAGCTAGCATGACAATTACTGTTGAGTATGACTCATACTTCGCATTCAGATAAAGAAGACTCTTGTTAGTCAGATGCAGAGAAAGCCAACGGGTCCTGCTCGGGTTTATTTTATTTTTCTCTTTTTTAATAGTTTGGACTTGGGCCACGAATAACTACTATTGCTTAGGATTTCTAAACTTATTTATATTCCCCTTGTAAACAGAGTGCTACAAGTGCGGTAAGGAAAATATAGTGAAATATTGCTGATATAGCCCACATTGAGTGAATCAGGGTAAATCTATGTTTCCGTTCTTTCCACTTTTCTATTTTGTGATTGTGTGTATGTGATTTTTCTATTTTGTGATTGTGTGTATGTGATTGTTCGGCCCTAGCAATGATTTTACATTGATCACATAATTTGCTTGCTGCTTTCTTCTATTATTACAACTACTATTAATTTTCATCATTTTTTATATCCGTGAGATATGTTTGTTGATTCATGGGAGAAGGAATTATTGTTATCATGCAATTGACACGTTGATAACTGAAAACAATACAAAGTTAACTCCTATAAATTGAAGGTTCTAAATTAGCAGTCTTTAAAACATTTCACAATGACAATAGTTGGATTGCAAATGTTACACATACCTTCAAGAACCAAAGGAGATTGAGGACATCCTCGCATATCAGTTCCATGACCACAATTATAACATGTGATAGTGTATGAAGGCACTGAAAGGTTTAATAGTCATTAGGCAGCATTCAGTGAACGGAACAATAACAGTAATTTTGCATTGTCCAATGAAGGCACAACAACATACATTTTATAATCGATTCACATGACTCAGAAGTCTTCTTTATGACCCCTTAATTAAGTACACAAACCTAATAATACTACCAGATCCTAATTGAACCATAACCTAAGATCATGTATCCAACATTCAAACAACTGAACATAGGAAATTACACATTGCTTAGTGCAAGTTTGATTGGAAATGAGCCGCTCGTTTGTCACTAGATAGCCATCAAATAAACAATCCATGTAGGATTCTAGAGAAATGCAGTTTTGACATATGGCCACAACAATGGCAATGATAAAGAATGTTATTGACTAAATTGATAGAAAAGTAAATGGCAACTCACTATCACTATCAGGGGATGAAATTTGTTTGGATGCGTGACGCCAAGGATCCTGTGAACCGTTTGTAAATATTATTTTTGAACCTGTCCATGCACATTACATTAGTATACTTGAAATCAGGTCAAATTCAAGATGATTGTATAATAATAGTATATTCAGAGTAACAGCATAAAAGAATGTAAAATATGTAGCATTCAGACATATGATGCCATAAGGAAGTTTTATGGAGAATAATTTATTTAGGGTTTTATGTTTATCATTTAACATAATATAACTTCACTTTCCTACACATACATTAAAGAGGTGAGGTCCACATATTTTTCTTTCTCTTTCATCATTCCACTTTCTCTCTCCCTTTTGATGTGAGAGTTGGAAACAACACTTACATTATGTTACATAACACTAATAAAACCCATTTATTTATTTTATTTATTTATTTTTTATAACTAACTCATAATGGTAAGTACATAGTTCAGATTAAAGTATGTAAACATGAAAGAGAAATCCATTTTCAAAATGACTTCAGTCCCTGATAAAGATAACATTTAGTCCTCAAATAACACAAATAATAAAGTAAAAGAGAAATGACAAACGTATATATAATGGAAAAGTAGAGGAGTTACGTAGGCACATTATTTATAAAATTTTGCATATATTATTAGAATAAAAGGGAAAAAAAAATAATATAAAAATCAGGTATAGGCAAGTTTCTAGACCAGCAATTTTTGTGCCTCCGTAGTATAAATTAGTTGCATCAACGTCAGGAAAGATGCCCTCCCCAAAGACATTTTTGCAAAGATCTAAATGGTATCTGCATTGTATGAGAAACCACTTAGTAAAACTAACAAGAACACAGAAGAAAAAATTCAACAACTAGAAATATCATAAGTATATTGTAATAGTGGTATATAAAAAAGAGAAAAGAATCCTGTCAAGTCAACATAGGAGAGTATATGAAGTCAACAGTAGGGATGAGGAACTTGCCTTGTGTCAACTTTTGAGGAGCGTATACTATCATTTGAGGGAGCCACCTGAAAATACGCAACTTCAGTGCAAACTTGAAACCACCATAATCGAGAAGAACTGTCTTCATCAATAGCAGTGTTTTTCAAGTACTTCTGGTCATAAATTTGTACGTTAACACCAAACGTTCCAAGGTAGTACTCTTTGACATATTTGGCATAAGCATCCTGCATGGTGAATTATAAAGTTTCCATCAGATGCACACGACCGGCCCCAGGGAGGGGTCACCAACATCTTGACAAATGAATGTAAAATAGATTAAAGGTAATCATTGACTGACTAAATGCGCTATATCTGTATATATTACTTAAAACAGACACAAGTGACAGAATAGTAGAGAGAACAAAATTTATTTCAACATAATAACTACAGTGGAGGCTGGAGCTTATGAGCATATCAAGACCTTCAAATTTTAGAGTATTCATTATGATAAAATACCAAATTCCACATTAAGTTTTGAAGATCATGGTCACTGCAGTAAATACATGAGCTAGCATGGCCATACAAAGTAGTTGGAGAAAACTAGTAAAGTAGACATGTTGTAAAAATTTCAGCTGCAAGGGACATACATCAGCATAAACCAAAAGCAAAATCATAGAGTATATCATTATAAGGAATCAATTCAACCCAAAAGTTTTGTTGTTGAGTGTCTGGCACGTGAATGTTTTTATTATATCTCATAACATGCCACCTCATGCGAAAACCCTTTCGGCTTTCTTTTGGTTTACCTTGGGCTTAAATTTAACTTGTTTTGAGTAGAACATGGGAGCAGCAAGAATCGATCTCTAAACCACTTGATCACAGGCTTTAATACCATGTAAAAAACCAGTTCAACCCAACAACTTAAATTGTTGGGTGAAGGCACATTTATTATATCTCTTAACAATTATATTCAAATTTGGCAGTTTATGCTCAACCTTTTATACAATTTGAAGGAAAGAACACACACTGACATAGAGCAATATAATACGATGAAAGAAGATTTTTACATGACTATGCTTGTTTGGCACATATTATTTTTTTTAAACTAAAAGCTACTTTTAAGTTAAAGTTAAAAAAAGAAGAAACTAAAAGTTGTTTGCTAATTATATAAAGCTGCTATGAGGGTTTTGAAGAAGAGAAGAGGAAATAATTTGTTATCAGGATCGATTATTAGGGTAAAGAGTAAAATTGGTAAATACCAATTTGAAATAAGGGTGAAACTAGAAAATAAATAAAAGAACTCTAAAAAGCTAGCATATATCTTTAAAAAATCTCCTCTTGAGAGCTTTTAGCTTTTTCTTTTTTAATTCATTATAACAAAAAGCTTTTTTTATAATAAGAGCTTTTATATAAACATGTTTGACCAAGCTTCTGCCTATAAGGAGATGAAAAGTAAAAAATAAAACTTCCCAAACAGGCACTATAAACTATAATATAGCAGAGTGACAGAAGTAAAAAAGAAAAACAGAAACTATTCCCTTGCGAGACCAAGGAAAGAAAAAAAGAAGCAGCTCCATTGAGCAGTTTCATAATACTGTGGAAAAGGAGCTAGATTGAAAAGCATACCACCAAATCCTCTCCAGCCTTCTTTGCTTCAATCAGGGGCTTGCACAATTTATCTGGATTTCCATATTGAAACTGCAAGACTCAAAGATCCAGAAAAGAGGAAATGGCATAATGAATTTGAATACAACAGATTGCAATGAATACGAAAAACGGTTACAATCATATCAATTACCGCTGTAGCAGCAGCATCAGCCAGAAGATACATGAAGTCTCCATCAATTTCAAGCTGCAAAACAAGGCAAAGGTCAACATGTAACATGACAATCAAATCAAACTAGAAAGTCTAGTGGGGAACATCAATCTTGTTCTGGGGCAAACTATAACTTTGCAAGGAAAGTGTAATAAAGGAATAGATCATACATCAGCTGCATTAAAAGATGCCTTCAGATCCCTTCCATCGGTTGCAAGTTTGTTTTCAATGAGCTGAGTAATTTCTTGTAACACTGATTTACATTCAGCACCAGCTGACTCACCAATCTGCATGTTGAAGATAGAATTTAGATTGAAATTAAATAAGAGGGAACTATGAACAATTTATAGCATCTAGGCTAAAAAACAAAAGAAGATGACCATGAAATAAAAATAACTATCTTCACCTGCTGATCAAATTCTGTGAAGTTATAAACAGCAAGAACAACTGCAGAACTTGCAAGACTTCCACAAGTTAGATGAGGAAACTTAAGACGGAACCATGCACTGAGTGCTCCAGGATACGAGCCACCAAAAGAGAACCAGGGGTTTTCAATTTTTGTTCTATTAAGCTTTGCATTTAAGGAACCCTACATAAAAATTACAGCAAGAAATCAAACAAATGGGCAGCAATCTAATAAACACCACATAGAACAATGGATTAATTAAAAGTTTGACTTGTGCCATCACAAAAACCTGAAGTGAAGTGAAAAAATAAACAGAAGAAGGAAATACAATAAATTGAGAGCTAGAAAGAAATGAAGAACTATTAACACTAAGAAATTGCTCAATTGATTTACCATAGATACATTAGATATAATCAAACATGCATGCAGGAAACTATAGAAACTAATGCATGCACGTGTGATCATTGTACATGCATCTATAGCCCCAAGTAGAATTATAAAATACTCCAAGCCCAGGTCAAGCACACAAGCAATAATTGCTAAGGAGCAATCTGATCTCCTGTTCTTATGGTTCCTGTTCTGGATCCATGTTATTGGACCCTTGTCCAGCTAGGCAGAATGAACCTTATCCACCGTTAGATAAAAACCCTCTATAAATAAAGGTATAAGCATGACAGGTATGCATCGCTGAAACCCTAGCCTCCTGGCTGTCACTGTGCATACACACCACCTTATTGGCTCTCAGCCTCCTCATAGTTCACAATGATCTACCACCACTTGCGGCTATCTCCTCTATAGACTGCTAGTCCACAGATCCCACATTAACAACGATCTTCTAGATCGAACAATTCCAAATTAATTTTGTTTCTTTGATAATAATTTTGAAGTCCCAGGCGCCAGTTTACAATTCACCAAGATATATTTCTTATACTGCATGCAATGCTATGCAACTTATTTTAAATAGACAAAAGTTGTGGGTAAATTGAGTAACAGAAAGCATCTTATGACAGATATCTCAATGCCATTGACCATTAGTGACCTTAATCAATATCTGAATTTGATTCTAATAGGAACTGGATCAGAAATGAAAACAAGTAAAGAATTGGAGTTTTGCTACTATTCTCTTTTACTCCAGATCTAAATCAGAATTTTAGAGACAGAGTCCCAGTGAGAATGATAGTGGAATTCTCTCTCTCTCTCTCTCTCAATACCAGGACTAGAAAATCTTGGCCCCACTCCCTACTTTCTTACAATCTGTCTTGCCTCAGACTCCTCCCCCCATTCCATTTTATTCTCCCTCATTTTTTTCCAACCAGTTCAGTTAGAGGTTCCTAACTAATTAACTGTCGCTAATAGAAACTAACTAAGGCCCTATTATTCTGTGTTCCTCTCTATTTCGCCTAACATACACCTTAGTGACAGGGTTTTATTAAAAGTTTCACAATCACACAAATCCTTTTCGGTAAACATTTATAAATTTTTACAATTTGGTTTTAGGCAACTTACATGTGAACTAGGCCAATGCCTTGCATTGCCTATGCTTCTTTAGTTATCTAAAAAACTTGAAACAACTTTACAAAAAAATAAAAATAAACTTGAAACAAAGAACTATCCACAATTTTTTTCAACCAATTTTCTTACGTTGCTATTTTACTGGCTTCGTTTCTACCCAAGTTGTTTTCAACCATGACAGTAAAAAAAATGTAGCTTGCCTGATAATACTGGCGAAAAACAGCTAAATCAAAGAGTGCCTGCTTGGATGAAAGATATTTCAAATTTTCTGTCGCCAAAGAATCAAATGGAGAACTCTTTCCATAATAGCGATGTTCAAGAGAAACCACAGCTGCTCCAAACTTCTTTGCCAGTACCTACAGACATACAAAAGGCATGGAGATTTGTTTATATTAATATGTTTTCTTCACAAAAGCCACATCATTCTTTTGTGATTGTGCCAAAACTTAAGACCTTTACTTCAATCTTTAGTATTGAGTGTTGAATGAAGATACATTAACCAACAAAATGCATTAAAGAATAGTAATACAAATTAGGACAAAGAATTGCAACTTACACCAATATAATCATTTGCTATCCCATTACATGGACCTTCACCGCAGATTTTCAAAAAAATTGGCCCATCTGGAATCCGGAAATAATCAAGGAACTCATAGTAACGTTGCCGGAATTGACGGTGATCCTGCAGTGCAACAGGCAAATATGCATAATATTAATCTACAGAATCAGAATTCATTAAATATATGTGGTAAATAGATAAAACAAATGGATTTAAAAACAAAAACAAAAAAGAAGAAGCAAAAAAGAAAAAAGAAAAAAAAACCTTTAGGAACTTATTTTGATTTATTAAAAAAACATTTTGAAAAAGCTATAACCCACCCAACGCTTCTCCTTAACTTAAAAAAAGTTCAGTTTCTAAAATTAGTTCTCACTCACAGTAATAAATAACATCAAGAATCTTTTTTATTTTCCATTTATAAAGAGAGAGAGAGAGAGAGAGAGGTACATAGGGAGAGAAGTGATCGAGGGTCTGATTGAACCAGAGCTCGTTATTGGTGAGGGTTTTACCCTCAGACAACTTGTTGAACAGCGTACGAGGTGGAGCAACTCCGTAACAGACCGCTGGAAAAGACAAAAACATGAACAACGATGACGCTGTCACAATCAGCCATCGCTGTCTCAACGTCGTTGTCCACATCGCCCCTTTGCTACTACCTCAAGATTCAATCGCAGAAGCCAGTACTTTAAATATCTCGTGATGCGAAACCTGCACCGACCAGAAAAATGGCTTTTTGACCCTTATGCCCCTTAATTAATAATTAATTACCAAATTGCCCCTCATTCAAAACTATTTCGAAAATTTACCCTCCCCAACAAACATAACACCAATCTGCCCCTGTTTGACCGTTGACCACGAAGCCTACCCGGGTACACCATTACCTACCCGGGTAAATTTTGAAACTTTTTATCTACCCGAGTATGTAGGGGTGTACCCGGGTAGAGTTCTTGAATCTGGGAAAATGTTTGAATTATTTACCCGGGTACGTAGCAGTGTACCCGGGTAAATCGCGTCCAGAAACCCCAATATGTATGGGTTTCGGCCATTGTTGCGAGGTATAGGGTTTTTGAAACCCCAAATCTTTCTCTCTTACCCTCTCTAATCCGAAACATCACACATATTTCATCTCATCATTTCAGAAAGCTGAATCTTGGGGGGACATTGAGATTACATCTCCACACTCCCATTTTGTGCTAAAAAATCTGAACCAACCTCCAAACCCAAAACCTAGATCTAATTTTTGTGTGAAAGATGAGTTCAAGTCCAAACATGGTTCCTATAGTTGTTTACTACAATGGGAGGCATTTTGAAGGTCCGAACGGTGTCCGATTTGAAGGAAAAACAAAAACGATGAAAATCAAAGTGGGCACTACATGCAATGAACTGAAGGAGAGAATTCTTCAAAAAATGGGGTCAGAAGGCATACATTCCATCCACCGCATGATAGCCAGGTTAGAGACTGTAGTGGATATGGATACAATATACTACATTGGAAACGATATAAATGATGATGAAGATGTGGAGTTCGTAACAGATGCGTTTGTTGAATGGAAAGTATTAAAATATATTGAGATATATGTTGAAGTTGATGTTGGACAATCTTCATCTTTACCGGTGCATACAACCACTACTGCACACTGTACCGGTCAAGAAGATACAGTTGTACGATCTTCTGCACCTCCTCAGGTAGCATGGGATGAGGATGAAGAGGATGAAGACGAGGACTATGTGGACAGCGAAGAGGAGGGAGAACCTGAAAGTGCTATTCCAGAAGGTGATTCGTCAGACACTGATGTGGACGGTAATTTTGAGGCTGACATGAGCGCCGTAAGTCTCGGTACCCCAGCCTTGTCACCACTTCATGTCGACCCAGTCAGTAGTGGTAAGTTATTAAATTTGAATATTTGCTTTAGACAATTTATTATTTGTGGTAAGTTATTAAATTTGACATGATCTTTAGATGCAGGGTCTGAGGAGCCATTCTGGAATGAAAGCCAACATTATTCATTCATTAACTGGGCGCACCCTAATGACGAGTTGGAGATCCTATATGGCGATGATGACTTGCACGGAGGTTGGAAGTTAGGAGATCCGTTATTTGTGCAACAAGAATTTGGGTCCAAACCAGAATTGCAACATGCTGTGAAGATACATTGTATGAAGGGGCGCAGGACAGCCATAGTTGAAAAAAGCGACGAGTCAAGATTTGTTATGAAGTGTAAAAACCATGCTGACGGTTGTCCCTGGTATATGAGGGCAATTAAGCCGAAGAAGGGAGCTAACTGGGTGGTCCGTAAATGGGGTCAAGGTCACACATGCCTAAATCAAGGCCTAGCACAGGATCATAGACAGTTGGATTCAAATGTCATTTGTGCGGCTATAATGAGTATGTATTCTACTGTTTATTTAATGATTCAGATTAATTGAGAATATGGTAAAGTTAATTTTTTTTTTCCAGATATGTTAAAGGAAGATCCATCCACAAGACCAGCTCTGATACAGGAGAGGATACAGGGAACATATGGATACAACATAACGTACAGGAAGGCCTGGAAGGCAAAAATGAAGGCCATCTGTAAGTATATGCTTATGTGGATCATGTTTTCAAAATTCCAACCATTATGATTATGTGGATCATGTTTTCAAAATTCCAACCATTGCTAAAGTATATGCTGCACACTGGTTTCCTATTGGCAATGAATTGTTGATTCCATCCGTTGTTGGGCCTACTGTAATTCCGGATGCTCAGTTGGTACGTGCAAAAGGAAGACCAAAGTCTTCAAGGATTCAGAATGAGATGGATTGGGTTGAGTCTCAACCCTCTAGCAGTCAGAGCAGATGTAAGCATTGCAAGCAAGTTGGACATAACATTCGTACATGTCCATTGAGACTAAGACAAGCATGATTACGTATTGTTTTTGTGTAGTACTTTGTTTTGTAATGACAATCACTTTACGTATTGTTTTGTTTCCTTGTACCCTAAACTTTATCTTGTATTTGTTATGTATTGTGTTGTTGAAATGTATTGTTGAACTGTATTCTTGTGTTGTTGAAATGTATTGTTGAAATGTATCCGTTAAGTTTAGCGAGTCACTCGTTCCGTATTGTGCAATCCGAATGTCTACCATACCCATTTACCCCTTCCCCGAGTCAGTTAAGGTTATTGTATTACACATCAATTACCAAGATGCTAACAAAATGGATTGAACAGCACCTGCTGCTGCATCTGCAACTGGTCTACCCGGGTAACTCGTAATGATATACCCGAGTACATACTACCCGGGTAGACTATTCGTGGTACCCGGGTAGACCAGTTGCAGATGCTGTTGCAGATGCTGTTTTGGCAATTTTTGTTGCATTTTGGTAATTGTTGTGCAATACCTACATACGGTATGACTTGGGGGTGGATTGACAATATTAATGCAAGGTCCCATACTAATGCATAGAACCAACAAGTCTGAACGTGCACAAAACGAAAATTTCATTCATTCAAATTTTGAATATCCAGTACAAAAACATCCATGCAATGTAGGTAAAGTTCCTAAATGTACCAAAATGACTACATTACATCAAACTAAATCAATGATATGAAACCCTATGGACACACTAATCCGATGCCGTGTCCTCCCCATTCTCTTCATCCGATTGTGTGTCATCCCCATTGTCATCATCCTCCTCCTCCTCCTCCTGAGTATGGGCACCCTCGCCAATTAAACCCTCCAAGCGTGAAACCCTTGTGTCCAACCGTGCAACCCTTGTGTCCATCTGGTTTCGCCACTTGCTCGTGCTCTGTCTATATCCTCTAAAGTCAGTAGTCAGATCATATAAGGATGCCATGACATGATCAAGTGTCCATCCACCCTCAGGAGGAGCTGGTGGTCGCCGACTGCGGGTGGGACGTGTCGGTCTGACATCAACCTCAGCAACGCCATCATCATCGTCATCATCATCAAGGCCTACATCATAAACCATGAAAAACAAACTTCAATACCACATTAAAAATTAAACAACACAAAATTGCATAAACTCATAAAGACCAACACATCACCTGCAGGTGCATCCTCCATCTCAGCATCGTGGTGGAATGGGATCTCAGGTGGTTCTGGTGCCTTCTTCCACGTCCAGATACCCGCTCTGTTCGGTAGGATCCCACACTGCTTCAGGAGCCTCTCACCAAATATAGCATTCCAGCCTCTGGCGGTCTTCAAGGTCTCTGTTGCCATAGGCACTCCAAATCTATGCAGAATCTTCTGCACCAGAAATGCAAAAGGCAATTCAGCCTTCTTTGACTTGGTTGCCTTCCACATCAGTATGCATATGTAATGCCTCCAGTTCACCTGCTGACTGTGAAGGAGGGCCCACAGGATGACAAAGTCCCCTTCCAGCACCTTTGAGTGATTATGCGGGCGCTGGAAAATAATATGTGTCACCACATAATGAAGAATGCGAGCAGAAACTGACAAGTTGCTAACAGGATAATGAGCAAAATGACCGGGCTCAGCGTCTGCCCTCCTAGTCTCTGTAACAATGGTCTCCCGGTTATAATCACCAAATATATGATGGCTGTCTCCATCATATAGTGCTGCTCCTGTGACACCATCAAAATCGAACCCCAGTAGCTCCGTCCAGATAGGAGCAGTCATGATGATATCAATCCCGCAGACACGGGAAGTCAGCTCGCCTTGCGAGTAGCCAAGGTTCTGGTAGAAGGCTCTTACCATAACCTCCGAGTATGGGCACCGCATCTCCGCCAGGTGAAGTAAATGTGTCTGCTCAAGAAGCGGCACGATGTCAAAACGCTCTAGGTTGAAGAATGCCGAATCCAGTGATTTCGGTTCGCAGATCTTCCGGGTCATGAAAAACTTCACGAACTTCTCGTGTGAAGGAATGTCATCCTCAAACAAATATCCGAACGTCAAGTCCGGAGCCTGACTCGAAGCAGCCTGGGGCTGAGAGGATGACGACCCATCGTGACGACTCTTGGTTCTTCTCTCGGAATGGGTCACTGGCAGCTTTGAAACGCGTCGAGAGGTCATTGTGTCACACTATTAAACTGAAAAAATAACCAAAATCAGAAATTAGATACATGTTAGGGTTAGGGTTAGGGTTAGGGTTAGATTCAGGGTTAGGGTTAGACAAATTGATAAAATAATTCGGACAGAATCAAATGATATAAACGAAAATACAATGAATCAGAACAGAAATCATAACATAATTGAAAAAACTGAAAAAAAAATTCACCTTTGATCGATTTCAATCGGTAGAAGGCAGAGAGGTTGCAAGGTCCGCGAATGATGATCACAAACAAGACGAATTAGTGCAAGATTATGCCTGAAATCGCTCAAGATGACACTCCTCCAGCAGCTCTACTCGGGTACCCCTTTTGTGGGTTTTCGAAATGGGGCTGCTGGGGTATTTTAAAATCCTACCGTCGATGTTTACCCGGGTACACTGCTCCGTACCCGGGTAAATAATTCAAACATTTTCCCAGATTCAAGAACTCTACCCGGGTACACCCCTACATACTCGGGTAGATAAAAAGTTTCAAAATTTACCCGGGTAGGTAATGGTGTACCCGGGTAGGCTTCGCGGTCAACGGTCAAACAGGGGCAGATTGGTGTTATGTTTGTTGGGAAGGG